TTACAGTCCCATACTATATTATTGTACGTTGACAACCTGCTCTCACATTCGAGCTACTTTCAGTGTGTATGTACAACATCGATAATCGAAAGAAAAAATATCAAATGATTGTCTCAAAGTCGACTACAATATCCATTTCAGCAAATGTCTGCAAATATCTCCTCTATCTTGATGTGTTAAAACCTGAGAACAACGCACACGTTCGCAGTAGGTGCATCAAAAAATGGCGCACTGAGTAATGTGAGCTAGGAGTTTTAGAATCAACACCCATAATCACAGCATATATTTGTTCCCTCAAATTCTGAAAATGATTCATCCGAGTCGATAATACCGACTGAATTAAATAACTGTACGGGTCTTTATATCATCTTTAGACCTATAAATCATTTCGATTGAAATTTGGACATGTATCTTTGTAGGCATTGCAAGTAAAAAAATAAATATGCCTATATATGAAACTGTCATCGAATTTTAACACAAATTTCAAAGAGCCGTCTGGAATCATCTTTAACGTCAACAAATCAAGGGTTTCCCAACAAAAGCCAGAGGACGTAGGCATCAAGCGCTTCAAAGTTGGGCAAATGGCTACCCAAATGGTTCTGTGTCTGACTGTGAGTCTGAATCGTCCTGCAGGACTTGAGGCCAGCGGATGTTGTTCCTGCGCATGAAGTAGATGATACCAAGTGTGATGATGTAGAAGAAGACCTCGATGCCGAGGAGGATCGTGGCGTGCCACCAGTCCGTGAAGAGTGTGAAGTGGATCTTCGGTAGCTCCGATGCCGAATTGTTCGACGTCGAGCCGACGACCGTCCTCCTGTCCAAATCGCTTCCGATCGCTTCGTCGGTCATCTCGCTGGATCCTGCTGGAACTTCCGTGGAGGCTACTGGAGGGGTGAACCTGGAACTGAAATCAGTCCTGGATGGTTCTTCAGTTGATGAAACCTCGCCAGGCTTATTTGTCGGTTCGGAGTTGATAGTCGTCTGTGATGATGACGACGACTCCGTTGCTGACGATGGCGACGTCGAGAACGACCTTGACGTGAACGCTGTTTTCCCGGAAGCGACACTGGGACTGCTTGACGTTGGATTCGTTGAAGATGTTGTGAAATTCTCAGAGATATTCGATGGCTCTTCACTGGAAGAGTGTAATGTGGGACTCTCCGATGAGTTCGGTGCTAATGTCTTAAAAGATGAGGACTTTGATTCCGTTGATGTAGATAAAGCATCAGGAGATACTGTTGGCAATTGCGATGATGGAGACGATGATTGTGACGCTGATGATGAGAATGTGTCAGTTGGTCCAACTGAGATTTCAGTATAAGGCACAGATGTAAATGTGGATGGAAGATTGTCTTTTGACGTGCTCACGTTTGAAGCGTCTTGGGAGATCTGTGGAGGGAAAAATCAGAAAAGAACAATAGAATTATGTTTTCCTGCAATAAAACACCATTTTCATTTGTCATTGGATTCCCGGCAGAAGTATCTTTATGCATGAAAAGGAAATTGTTCTTTCTTGGATTGTTTTCCATGACGTAAATCATACGTAAAAACCAGTCATCGAGTCAGAGAAAGATCTATGAACTAATAATTTCAGAAGCTATTTAAGTTGAATTTCTATAGTGTTTCTTTAATGCTGCACGAGTTTCTTTCATTTTCAACAGTTGTGATGAATAATATATTTTCATATAGATCATTTTTGTCATAATTATATCCCAAACACCATATGTAAAATATGTGTTCACATGCCAATTTGGGGTAGGAGTGTATTTTTGCGAAGCCAGATCGGAGACACAATTACGTGCATGGGTAGATAAAGGTCATTTCTGCACAATAATTGTATCATCCTCATGTCCACGTTCATGTATTCAGGAAAGTTACGTAATCGTTATTCGTTTATGCACAGGTAGGTATATTCTATTCAGGGATCTCCTTATTCTTTGTGCATTTTATTTTTAGAATAAATACTGCCAAAGTGATGGAGGTGCTTCGTTTGGCCCCTTGGAAAGAATAAGGAGATACCTGAACAGAATATACCCACCTGTGCATAAACGAATAATGATTACGTAACTTTCCTCAACACATGATGATGATGATACAGTTGTGCAGAAATTACTTTTATCTGCCTATGCGCGTATTATACCCCATTCACAGTGGTTTTGAAATTTGTAGCGGCGTTGTAGCGGAGCGGCGACACCGCCATAACACCGCTACAAATGCATTCACAGTAGAAAAGTTATCCCGCTGCAGCAGCGGGATAAATATCATGTACCCATTCACGCTGCAGCGGGTGATTTTTATTACCTCCGTAACAAACACGTGTATGCATGGCTCATGACCCGCGAGTGACCCCGATATGACCGGAAATACTTGCTTGAAATTGCGCGGTAAACATGTCAAGTTGCTTTTTGTATCCTCGATCATATTACTTTTTAAAAAACTAGCATTTTTATTGCTTCCAGTCAGAATATTTTAATTTTTTGAAGTGTGAAATATTTTTATTTGGATAATTATAATACCTACATAATAATAAAATCAATTTGAATCCACTGGTTACTTTATTTCTATTTCACTTTATGTTCCCCATTGCTGTAGAAAAGAGGTCAGTGATAGGTAAGTAAACAAATCACACGTGTTTGTCGCGGTGTTATAGCGGAGAGCCTTCACACTGAGTAAACACCGCGACAGCAGCGGGACTGTCCCGCTGCTGTAGCTAGGCGTCCCTAGCGATAGTTTGTGTCGGCGTTATCGCTAGGCGGTGTTATCCCGCTATAGTTTATAACGGGTCCGAGCCTTCACACTGAAGACAACACCGCGACAGCAGCGGGACAGTCCCGCTGCTGTCGCGGTGTTTGAGGCCACTGTGAATGGGGTATTAGTGTCTTCGATCTGGCTTCACAAAAATACACTCCTACCCCAAATGACACACACACAAAAAACGGTTTGGATCAGTTTGCCATTGACCGAGGTATGACAATGAAATAATCAATATTCACAACAATAGAGCCCATCGTAGTACGTAAATAAAATGATGATCTACTTAAACGCCCATCTTTTACCAAGGGGGGCTAGCTCAGATGGTAGAGCGCTCGCTTAGCATGCGAGAGGTACCGGGATCGATGCCCGGGTCCTCCAATCATTTTATTTTCCTAAATCCTTTTGGGATCAGTATGTATTTTTGGATCATTAGAACAGTCATGAAAACCATGGATTTGAATTATTTCATCTCCACTTGCATCAAGGGGGGCTAGCTCAGATGGTAGAGCGCTCGCTTAGCATGCGAGAGGTACCGGGATCGATGCCCGGGTCCTCCAATTATTTTATTTTCCTAAATCCTTTTGGGATCAGTATGTATTTTTTGGATCATTCGAACAGTCATGAAAACCACAGACTTGAATTATTTCATTTCCACTTGCACCAAGGGGGGCTAGCTCAGATGGTAGAGCGCTCGCTTAGCATGCGAGAGGTACCGGGATCGATGCCCGGGTCCTCCAACTATTTTGTTTCCCTTTGTTCTTTTGGGATCAGTATGTATTTTGGATCATATTAGAACGGTCATGAAAACCACGGACTTGAATGGTTTCATCTCCACTTGCATCACCTCGACATGAAGCAAAAAGAAGTATGAATTGATTTAATAAACTGGTCTGCCATGGGTTACGATTTTTCAAATATTTTTATTCAAATAATAAAATCAGTATATGAAAGGATGATATGCAGAGAAGAAATCGAATTGTGGTTGGAACTCTAGGTGTGTGTGAGGGTGGTGGGATGGGGAGGGGGGGGGCTCCCTGTCTTCATTGCAGCTGATTCACATTGTCATTCACACTATTTGAATTCATGTCACCACCCAAACTGAAAGAGTGGACGGGACTACATAAATGCCTGAATTGCGTGTCCACATAATACTCCTTCTCTCTTAAAAACACGACGAAGTACATGAAGATGTTGTCATTTTCTTTTCTTCGTTTATCCAAATCTGGAGAGAGGTCAAGCGAAACGGGATGCTGGCTGGTGAATAATATAATTGATCACCGACCATGGGTGATGATTTCGAGCGAGGGAAAGATGTACCACAAAGTAAAACATTACTAGAGTCTAACCACAAAGTGCATGTATCCATGGTAACTAATCTATCTGCATGCTTTTATCGTTCTTCTTGTTCTTCTTGTTCTTGTTCTTACATCTTCTGCTCGAATTATTCGTTGTTACGCCCGAAGTACTGAATTATCGCCGCATCACTAACTATCGTCCAATATATAAAAAGCGTCTTCTGCCCCTGGCGCTGGAGAGAGAAAATCGTACCATCTAGCCCGCCGTTTTTGAATGACGTTACCATAGGAACGCGGAAGAAGTAAAAGTCACCCTAACTTAAAATCCACAAAAGGTGAAAAGCAATATCTTGATGTTCGCGTGTTGTGGCTTTGAGTATAGACTTGTCATCTCCCTCTTTGTCAATTACAAGTTATTAAGAAAATGCCCGCATTAGTGGCAAATTAATTGGGAAACGTGTCGCCTCTATACACAGCGCGATTAATTATCGTGACATCCAAAATGGGAAAATTATTATTAATAGTACGTTAGGGACATGGTTAATGAGCTTATATGATGTACTATTATACATGTATATCCAGCTATCCCTCAGCTCTAATCCATGAACTCTAAGGAAAAAAGTTTATCACTTTGACTGTACATATTTTACTACTGATGACACGATGATGGTTGTTCTACAGCGCATGTTAACGTCCCCCTTGCGCCTTCTTCTAAATAACTTTCTTTGGCGATGAATACATCAGGTGGTGTCAGACAGAGGCCAATTATCTGGAAAATAGTTATCCGGATTATTCGTAGCCTGTCTGTCACCTACGTATCTAGATATCTGTAAACTAGATAATTCAAGATGGGTCGGGAAAATTGTGTCTGACACCACCTAATCAGTTCACCTGTGGCAGCTGTTATCAAAGCAGAGTGTATGTCGAGAAATAAAACATGATATACAATGTGCAACATGTTCAATACCCTGAGTAGGGAGAAAGGTTGGGAGGAAGGGTGGGGAGAGGGAGAGTGTAATAGTGAGAGAGAGAGAGAGAGAGAGAGAGAGAAATAGACAGATAGACATAGAGAGAGAGAGATAGACAGATAGACATAGAGAGAGAGAGAGAGAGAGAGAGAGAAAGGGGAGGGAGAGAGAGAGAGAGAGAGCGAGAGGGAGGGGTATTTTTTTGTTGGGGGGGGGGAGGGGGAGACATAAAAAACAGTTGTGTTTTATCAGCGACAAAAGTACTGAAAATACTGAACGCGGTACTCCCTTTTGTAAATGCCTTATTTGGATTGTCATTATGTATACTTGTAATCCATTTGCTTGCTATTATTACCATCAATAGCGTGAATATCGTGCAACCTTGTAGAGGACAATGGCTTCACTTCCAGGGGATACAAACATCATAATTTCTGCCTCACAAAAAATGGGGAAACACGGGAAAGCATCATCTATTATTCATGGTATAGCATGATTAGCCAGCCGAGTATGTAATTGCTCCATCCATACGCATTTTATTTTCTCTACAAACCTTAACAACACAATAATCCGCTGACCACGAGCAAAATGACACAAGGAGTAAAACCAAACCTATTATTTAGGCGTACCTGTTAATTTTCTCCGTAGGGGGGGGGGGGGGGGGGGGCTTACACCTTTGACCAAACTAGCTTTTCTTTTTAATAAGAAAATGTACAAATAAGAGAAATTAGCAAGCAAAAACACACACACTTGTTTATTTAAAAGAAATAAAAATTTCGTCACACAAATTTACTCTAGATGATTCATACAAATGATATTGTTAGGGCACTTTGGTGCTTGAACATAATTATACTCGGGGACCTGCTACTCAAACACTGTATTAGGATATTCAGGCACCTCGATAGCTGCCCGAAATAGGGCATTTGCCCAAATAATTGGTATTTTCGAATTCCCCCAAGTTCACAGCCGCTGACTCCTCGGCCTATGCTAGTAAATTGAAACGGATGGTATTCGACCGTGTAGTGAAAATACACAGTAATTCAGAAACTGCGAATAACATGAAATCCTTTGGGAATAGTCATTTGCAGGTCAAACATAGTTTTGTTTTGTAAACAAAGATAACTATCATTTCAATGTTATGTATCTGCAATATATATTCCTATATTTCTATATCTTTCAAAATGTCGATATGACTGTAAAAAACTTGGAATATCCAAACGCATAATTATGCTATTTTAATGTTAGAAATTTTTTTAAGAATATCTAGTATCATATTCCACATACTAAGAATCTTGCTCGAGTCTACGATTGGCCAAAAGTAAATCACGTGATCAAAGATAGTTCACCCATCATTGATGGGAGAGGAAAAGTTCAC